AGGCACAGGGTCCATAACCTGGGCAGATAAGTCACGGAGGAGCTGGCACCTGAGCAGAGTCCCACGGGCGATGTGGAGGTTGGAGGAATGGAGTTCGAGGAAGCAACATGCGCGAAGGCCCAGAGCTGGAAAGAGCAAACGTCAGAGAAAGGGCAGGAAGTTTACAGTGAGTTTAATGTGAGCAGGTTTGGCGAAAGGGCAAGAGGGGAGGTGTTGGCAAGGATGTACCCTAAAATGGCCTAAACCTTGAGCTTTATCCTGAAGGTAACATCAAGCGATTCAAGCATTTTAAGAGGAGGAGTGATGGGGCCAGGTTTTCTTTATATTAAGAGGATACTGGGAGCCTCAGGAGGGATGGCCTTGCCTGCAACTCTGCTCTCAGACGAGAGGTCCAAGTTCAATCCGCACAGGGGCTGCAAACCTCCTGCCCAGCAGCGTCTGTAGCCAGCAAGAGTCTCAAGGGAATTATGAACATGCTGTGTGGAGCTCTATTGTGTAAATGACTAAAATGGACTTTATAATAGACGTAGAAAATGTGAACTGATCAGTACCAATGAAATAAACTGAAAAAGTTATTGAAGTGCCAAGCCCATGAAGTTTTATGGATAAATCCTTTCAAACTTTCAAGGAACAGATCATCCCTGGCTAAATAATTTCTGGAGCACGGGGGTTGGGGGGGGGGCCCAACTGACTTTGTGTTAGCATAACCTCCCTCTAAAGCCTAGAAAATATTTCATTAAATACTAGCAAGTAAAGCTCAGAAATGTATAAAAAAAGAAAAAAAAAACACAAAAAAACAGTAGTAACCAAAGGCCAAGTATAAGCTTTGTGTCAGAAACGTGAACACATGCAGACTGTGAAAATACTGTTACTTCAAAGCTGAAAACGGTTCTGTTCTAAGACAGGGAGGGAAACCACATTTGGGAAGGCTGATCTTTTTGATGGGGACACTGGTGTGGGCCATTTGGTTGCACAAACGTTGATCAGTTATTTCCACACCCATCCCATCTTGCCTTGGGAAAGCATTATCCTAAATACAAAGATTTTAGCACTGTTCTGTCTGGTAATGTAGATTGTTTATTAGGGTCAAAAGACATGGAATACTCAATAAGGAAGCATTAAGACCCTTGCTTAAGTAAGACCAAGAAATGGAAGAGGGGCGCCTGGGTGGCTCAGTCGGTTAAGGCCTCGCCTTCGGCTCGGGTCATGATTCCAGGGTCCTGGGATCGAGCCCCGCGTCGGGCTCTCTGCTCGGCAGGGAGCCTGCTTCCTCCTCTCTCTCTCTCTCTCTCTGCCTGCCTCTCTGCCTACTTGTGATCTCTGTCAAATTGATAAAATCTTAAAAAAAAAAAAAAAGAAATGGAAGAAATTCCAGTAGTTACAAATCATTAAAAAAAATACTCAATTTTGCCAGTCATTAAAAAAATCTGTATGTTGAGGGGCACCTGGGTGGTTCAGTGGGGTGAGTATCCAACTCTTGAACCCAGCTCAGGTCTTATCTCAGGATTTTGAGTTCAAGCTCTGCATTGGGCTCTGTGCTGGGCATGGATCCCACTTAAAAAAAAAAAACAAAAACAAAAAACAAAAGAAAAAACCTCCCTGTTTAAACAATGAGGTGCAGTATTTTCATCTGTCAATTTTGGAAAGATCTTGAAACTGGCCATTCTGGGTTCAAGCAAGGATACCCAACAACGAGCAAACAGTTCTGCATGCTCTCTCGAACCCTGAACAGGTGTCAGAAGACTAGAGGGAAATAATACATCTAACGGTGGTTTCAATATTTCCTTTACTTATTTTTTTAAAAATTCAGATATAGTTAACAGACCATAAAATTTGCCTTTTAAAGTATATAATTCAGGGTTTTTTGTATATTCACAAGGTTGTGCAACCATCACTGCTGTTTTACGGCAAAACATTTTCATCGTTTCAAATTCCTTTTAGACTTTTCCTCTACTGGGACTTACTCTCCAGTTGAAAGTACTCTTCCCTCACAGGCTCAGAGTGAAACAGGTCTGGAAATGCCTCCAGCTTTGGAGGAGCCTGGCCTGGCCAGTGTGTGGGACGACTTAGTCAATCTCCCATCTAGGTCTCTAGTCCCAGAGCCACTCCTTCCCTTTCCTTGGTTGGGCCTTTCCCAGCCACTAGAGTGGTAACATCTAAGAGGCCGAGTCAGGTTGTGAGGCAAGGTTGGGGGGTGGGGGGCAAAAAGGGCCCATGGGTCTCTTCTCCAGGTTGGACCAGTGCTTCTCAGGTCTGCCTGCTCAGAACAAGGACAGCTCAGGCCTCACCCCAGAATAACCAGAATCTCTGTGGGCAGGGCGCAGGCATCTTTTTTTTTTTTTTTTTAAAGTTCTCCAGGTGGTTCTAATGTGCAATCAATGTAGAAAAGTCCCATGTTGGGGCACCTGGGTGGCTCAGTGGGTTAAAGCCTCTGCCTTCGGCTCAAGGTCCTGGGATCCAGCCCCACATCAGGCTCTCTGTTTGGCAGGGAGCCTGCTTCCCTCTCTCTCTCTGCCTGCCTCTCTGCCTACTTGTGATCTCTGTCTGTCAAATAAATAAATAAAATCTTAAAAACAACAACAAAAAAGAAAAGCCCCATGTATGCCAAAGCATGACTGTAGCACAGGTAAAGAGGAAGATTTCAAAATCATCACTTGACAGAATTCTCCCAGTAGTTCTGATGTGAATGGTGGAACATGTTATTTGTAAAAATACAAAAAAAAAAAGGAACGACAGTAAACAACAATACATTATTGTTAATGTTTTGATTGTATTCAAATTTTTATTTTGAACAAAAAACTTAATACAATGATTTTAAATAATAAAACGTGGTATATTCTAGACACTTGTTGGTTTCTTTTTTAAACAGTTTATTAAATTTGGACTCCTACAGTTCTGTTGTGATGCTTTCTTCAACATTTATAGTATTTACCATATTATCACCACTCTAAACTTGCTAAACAAAGAATCACTCTAAGTGAAGCCTGAAGCTTCACTTTATCACATAAAACACACATACAGAACAGTCATTTTTCATATTTACAAAACACAAGAAGTCTGTCCAGCCATTTGGATTTGTTGTTACATTGCCCAGACTGAGATTAGCAAAAAGTTAAGGAATAAGCAAGATTTCACTGCAGCCGTGCAAAAGATGGCCTCAACCAGACTTCATCAAACAAACCAACAAATTACAAACATAGTCAGCAAAATTCAACTTGTGTAATAGAGATAAAAAACAAACAAAAAAAACAAAACACAAAGTGGGTCACAACTAGACTGGTTTTCACTGTGCAACTTTCCTCAGGGAACAATACTACCCATTTCACATAGAAAGGAGTATGCATCAAAGCCTTTGTTCATGAAGAAAATGCCCTCCAAACAAATTTGTCATAAGGCGCAAAAAAAGAAAAAAAAAAATTTTTTTTAATGAAGCAGTTTGGCCCAGAGAAAAGCTTATACATAATGTGTATACATAGTATATACACATTAATAGATACATTACAATGGAAACCATGTATGTTAGTCATTAGACAAATGAACTGGCTCAGTGTAGTGAAAATGTGTCCATTTTCTAGAAATACGCAATTATTGCTGATAGGCTACACATTATGCTCGGACACGGAAACTGTAGAAACTTAGAATTTTAAAGTGGCCGTATTGCCAGCGTCAGCCCCGCAGCAGGCGTTCGTGAGGACAACATGCCATCCAATCCTGAAGAAAAAGCAAAAATTCCACTACAGAAAAAAAGGAAAAAAAAAAAAAAAAGGCTTATGCACTGTCCCTTACATTTTTGCCTATTTAAAAAAAAAAAACAAAAAACAAAAACTAGTCCAGTTCACCACAAGTGAAGCACAACCTGACAAGCAAGTTTAGCGGCAGGATGGGGAGAGGAGAGTAAAAGACAGCATGCATTTACAACTAGCGCTGATCTAGTCTATTCTGTCATACAAACTGGAATACAAAAATCCAATTTAAATAAGACTAGACTAACTGTAAGAGTTTAAAAAAAAAAAAAACACACACAGTAGACTTAGTTTGATACTGATTAATTTTAAGAGTAAAACTCATCCCGTCCCCACTTAATACTCTACTGCAATTTATTTGATGGCTAGAATATTCACTTACTTAAAAAAGATATTAAATACCTGTATCATGAAATTACATTCTTTTTAACAATAAGACATACTGTGTAAGAAAATAGCTCATGTGTGAAATGTGTCTGAAATGCATTTTTCCTCACAACTATCAAAACACCCACTCACACTAAAACAAAACCACCCGAGCCCCCCCACCCCACCCCCTGGAAAAAAAAAAAGTTCGGGAAAGATGGGGTGGGGCCGGGTGAGGAGCAGGGAAGGAAAGGTTTACCAGCACAGTGATTAACAATGGTTCAAGACAGAACCAACAAGAGTTGGTCAAAAGGATGCCTTCAATACATGGCTACAATTAAAAACCAAACTCAGCCACTTTTGGTTCATTGCAGTGAGACCAAAAAAATATCTCTCACAGATTCATATAAATACTAGACTCCAGCTCTTTTATTATTATTATTTTTAAAGTCTTCCCATTTGTTTTTGCAAGGCCTAGCTACCTTATTACAATTTATATTTGCTCTGCAACAACTACAAGAGGTAGGCATAGAGCATGAAAAAGTTTCTTAGTTAGTACCTCACTGTGGGCTGTTCACCACACACCTTTCACTTTAGACGCGTAAAGGGATTACTTTCCGGTCTTTCCTAAACCCCAAAGCAAAGCTGCTGCCGTCCTGTAAATGTTCTACCAGAGTGTACTCACAAATAAGAAACTTTCTCTACTGAAGGATACTGTCATAGTGTTTGTTGCAGAGCATTCATATAGTCATATATATATATTTATTTTTAAAAAATAAACGACAAAAACCAAACCCAGGTTCCTAGAACCAGTTCTCTTGATTCACTACTTCCACAAAATAAAGTGTACCATTTGGCCAAGACTACAGATGTGGTTTTTTTTTTTTTCTTCACAGATGCAATTGCCATGCAAAATAAATTAAAGAACAGATATCAAACATACATGTGATAAAACTACGGAAGGTAGATCTTTAAAAGCATTTATATAAACATAATTTATAATACTTCTCTTCTTTCCTTTATGTACAGTCACAAAGCTGTCGTTATACATCGAGAATTTCCTCCGCCGTGCCCCCACAGCGCAATCTGTAGCGACCAGTTCTCCAGCTTATGGTAGGGTCCCATAATGCCGACAAAAAAATGTATATTGTCATGGATTCACGGATGAACCAGGCTACTGCATAATCAAGTTTTGAGAAACACAGTGTGCCACCCTGGGGATTGGAAAAAAAGAAAACACACAGAACTGACTGACCAACTGTCGAACTAGACACAGTTAAAAAAAATGAAACTCTTCAATTTCACTCTTAATATAGACACTATATAAAATCAAGCCTGCTTCTTGATATAATTTAACTGCCAAGCTATATCCATTAAAAAGTGTTAACGATGAGTAGAACAGGCATTAAAATCATGGCTAGTCTGACATAGTTTAGTTTGAATACTCGATTTTGGGGGGAGACTTAATGAGAGTCATTTTATTAACATGATTTTGGGGGGAGCCTTAAAAAAAGTCATAGTGTAACTACCAACAGAAAGTTGAAAATTATGTCAAGTTCTGCATCCACATTCTACTAAGGAAAGTAATGTTTAAACCTGATTATTAACCTCTGGTGGGAAGCCACGGAATGGCTCAGGAAGATTGCTTCAACCCTTTCTAAATGAAAATAGTTTTAGTTCTCCAAATGACTGCCAACCTTTTCATGCCTATCCACATACCTGGACACCCCTGAGTTGAATGTAGTCAAATATAAACCATGCCAGGCAATGACACATGAAAAATACCATAATATCCCATCTGAATACATGGTGGGCCGCCCATCCGATAATTAAACTGGCAACAAAGCATTCTGAAATTGGCTCACAAATTATTGTAGCAGGAAGCATGTTAATTCGCAATTTGGTCCACCTAAAAATTAAAAAAAAAAAAAAAAAAAAAGGTTTTCCTTAAACAACAGCCTGGTTACAAGACTAATCAATTTCCCCCCCAAATGATCAGCTCTTTATCCTGTTATATAAAGGCCCTCCTCTTTAAAGAGTATTTAATGAATCTCTTTTCTGTTTGTATTTAGTATTATCAAAGAAAAAAGCCTATAAATTTATTTGTATGGCCTACACTCTACCGAATAAAAAAGTCAAAATATAGGGGTGCCTGGGTGGCTCAGTGGGTTAAGCCTCTGCCTTCAGCTCGGGTCATGATCTCGGGGTTCTGGGATCAAGACCCGCATCAGGCTCTCTGCTGGGTGGGGAGCCTGCTCCCCCCCACCCTGGTCTGCCTGCTTGTGATCTCTCTCTCTCTCTCTCTCTGTCAAATAAATAAAGTTAGAAAATAGAGATCAGCACATTAAAGAATCAAATTCTCAACATCTCTTTAAATTTTTATTTAAAATTCAATCTAGTTAACATGTACTATATCACAGGTTTCAGATGTAGAATTTAGTGATTCATCAGTTGCATATAATCCTGGTGCTCATTACATCATGTGCCCTCGTTAATGCCCGTCACCCAGCTACCCCACCCCCACCCACCTCAACAGCTCTTTACTGAATGCTTTCAGGGTTACACAGCAAAGAAAATATATTTAAATTTTTTTTTTAAAGATTTTATTTATTTATTTGACAGAGAGAAATCACAAGTAGGCAGAGAAGCAGGCAGAGAGAGAGGAGGAAGCAGGCTCCCTGCTGAGCAGAAAGCCTGATGTGGGGTTCGAACCCAGGACCTGGGATCATGACCTGAGCCGAAGGCAGCGGCTTAACCCACTGAGCCACCCAGGCGCCCCTAAAGAAAATATATTTAGACAATACATTTAATAAAGATGCTAAACTCTCTTTTCTAGAACTAAGCAAAATTTGACTTTTAGATATTTTAAATACCGAGTCAGACCATGTAAAAATCACACCCTCCCCCACCCTTTTCTTTTAGCCAAAAAAGAAGAAAACCAGCTGATTTACCTGATCATTCTGGACTGAAACTGGGAAATTGAGTAAGAGCCGGAGTTTTGCATTGCAACCTGCGTGGACATCGCAAACCTCCAGCCTCTGAAAATTAAGACAATTATAAAATGTACCAAGACGATGAACACATGCAGGCATGACTGACTATGCATTTACTCATCACTATAAAGTGAAAGCAAATGCTGGTGTTCGGCGGGGGCCTAGTTCTCAGGATTAGCACCCTTCTTGGGGTGTATCATCCTTACGGATGTTTTAGCAATTACACAGCCCGTGACAGTACCCTCTACTGCTGGAAGAACTACCACCCCTCAGTCTACAGTTTAAGAAACTTAAAACACATTCTGGAAGTACTAGGTGACGTGGGTTCTGTATTTCATAGCTTAGTCCCTGATCACTACTAAACAAAACCAAAACCAAAAACCACCAACTCAATCGTGGGCTGGGGGTATGTGTGACACGTGGGCATCGACAAGGCTATTCAGTAAGAAATGAAACAGAAAGCATTCTGTAGCTCATGGGAAATACTAAGGAACTATGAGCCATGTTGAATAACATCATTTAAGAATTTTAAAAGCACACCTCAATTTTTAAAATCTTATCTTTAGTAAATTATCACACAAGGCAATGAACCCCTTTAAAAGCAAACGAGTATCTTGTAACAGAGAGATGTTGTAAGTCATTCTGTGAATTGTTAGGTGGCTTCTTAGCAAAGCATCACATAATCTACCAAGAAATTCCAAAATGTGAAATCATATTCTTTCAATTTTCACCTGCTGGCTTATGACCACACTATTATTTTCAATTCTTCTAAAACACATAGAAATTCACATCTATAATAATGTAAATTTATAATCACAGAGAAGCTTCCTTTTAATGTCAAGCCACACTAAAGAATGTGAAAGGATCTGAACACTTATTTTCCTCACTCATTTCTTTCATAACGTATCTATGAATAATAGGAATTACTTCCTAAAAATATTAACCTATTCTGTACTCACTAGCAAGAAATGAAACAGCCCCTTAACCCATAGGTTTAACAAATACAATAAACCAACATAAGTCAGGTACTAAAAATACTATAGCCTGATGTAATTTAGTTTGCTTACCGGTCAGCTATGGCCTTGGCCATAAAGTAATCTTCAGCAATGTACTGGGCAAAAGCTATAAGCCCTCCTGCTTGATCTAACACATCCTTTCTCATTAAACAAGACATTCCCGTCACACATTTGAAGCCAGTTACATTGGCAGAGATATACGACCTTGGATGAGAAGTCCCAAAATATACCTGCCAAAACAAAAGCAAAAACATATATGTATAATTAGAATGTTATGTTAAAAGTATGGTAGCTATAAACTTTTTTTTCCTAACGAACTTCCTTTAAGTATGACTGAGTATCTTATTATTCTTATATAAACTACATGAATAAAAGTTATTACAAAATAATGTTTACATGTAGAGGACAATCAGTAATTTCTTACTTGATGGACTATTCCTTTTTTTTTTTTTTTTAAGATTTATTTGTTTATTTTAGAGAGAGCGAGCGAGAGCAAGAGAGAGAGCATGTGAGCAGGGGGCAGTGGCAGAGGGAGAGAGTATCTCAGCAGACTTCGCATGGAGCAAGGAGCCCAATGTGAGGCTTGATCCCACCACCCTGAGATCATGACCTGAGCCGAAACCAAGAGCAGAGGCTCAACCGACCGCGCCACCCAGGTGCCCCTAGACTGACTATTCTTACTAGGACCATTACGAAGAAAAATATACTTCTGGGAAAAAAAAATTGTATTCTATTCTCAAATAAACACTGTGTTCTGTAAAGCTGCAAGATTCAAAGATTTATCCAAATAAAACTTAAATGGGATATAAAGTCAGATAGAAGTATCACTCATTGACATGTCAAATGTTAACAACTATCTGATACAGATGTAACTACACACACACACACCTACACATACAGGTATATGTATGTGACTGTATATCACGTGTACTCACACATGCACACACACACATGCAAACACCACCTGTAAGTATATCGACCTACAGGACAATCCTATTTTAATTCCTTTCATAGCTAGCTGCTTTCTGCCCAAGTCACCGAGCTTTTTCCCAGTTCCCCCAGTGTTATTTTTCAATGAATTTTCCATAAACAGGGTGGAGACCAAAATTCTTTCTCCCATTTTACTCCCCCTTTCCCTAGATATGCTTTGAAGTCATGAGCTATGCAAGTTGCTAAACCAGTGGTAGAATAAAATGGTCATCACCCTAATTATGAGACATAAAACCCTATTATTTACATCTGAGATATGCTGCCTTTTCTAATTAGCTTGAAAGGAGAAGGGTGATTTTTCTCAATGGCAGCAGCTATGCACACAGTGTGGAACAAGGGAATTATCAGGAGTAATGAAGATGATGATTCTTGCTACCTACCCTATGTCCAGACTACAATGAACCTTTGGTGTTTGTGGGACTGAACTGAACCAAGTCAGTAAGACCAGAAGCCCATATCTTAATTCCTTAAGCAGTTACTATGTGGGGCTTTAAGAATGAGATGGAAATAGGAACTATGTCAATGGCTCGCAGGATTTCTTTACAGACTGGAATAATCCTTGTACTTCCCTTTACTCTGAGTAAGGCGAAAAGGGCCCTTTAAGGATTAAATTTAACCTAAGGGACTGACCGTGATCTGGGAGAGGATTACCACTGCCATACACATCAACTTGGATATTTCTAAAACAAAAATACAATGTGGCATATAAGAATAGAAAGTATTTTATTTTTAAGTACTTACTCAGAGTTTCTCTCACTAAACAAAAATTCTGGTATTTAAAGACTTAACAATTTCTTACAATAGGACAAATATATTCATGGGCAATATTAAGAGCTCCTGGGTCCAATTGCCAGAGGTTAAATTCCACTCACAATGTACTTTTACCCTCTCAGATCTGTGGTAATCACAAGACTCCAATACAAAATAATGTAAGTGCAGATATGCTTAAAAGCAAGTTGATACATTTAAAAGACTATAACAGTATATCCTTCCCTGATGACATTAAGGCAAGCTTTTCTTCCTAAATGTGTAACAACCCAAGAATGGTTAAATCAGGCACAGAACATATGTATGATAGACTGTGATACAGTAAATAAAAATCACTTTTATAAGAAGTTACTAACGATATGGAGAAAAGCTAATGATGTGACAAAAGTCAGATACACATTCTTTTAGAGTACCATCTCAAACTGTTTTTAAAAATGCACATAAGAAAAAAACCAGAAACTTCCTCTAACTGGTAGGGTCATGGGTTGTTTTTTATTCTTTGTTTCTTGTATTTGTCCACAATCTATAGTTTCTATTTGTTATAGGGTGAAGAGGGGGAAAAAAAGGAAAATGCAAAGTAAGTTTCTCATGTAACTTTTAGAAATCTCTTTAAAAGAAAATCAAATAAGGGTGTCTGGGTAGCTCAGTAGGTTAAGCACCTGTCTTTGGTTCAGATCATGACTTCAGGGTCCTGGGATCCAGGACCACCCCCATGTCACGCTTTCTACGTCAGTGGGGAGTCTGCTTCTCCCTCTTTCTCTCCTTCTGTGCCACCACCCCCCGCCCCCACCAAGTTCCAGCACGCTCTCTCTTCTCTCAAATTAAAAAAAAAAAAAAAAAAAAGGGTAGAACATCAAATGGATTTTATAATGATTTGTACAAATAATTTTCCCTTTTTTGTATATTTAAAATACTCTGGGGACGCCTTGGGTGGCTCACTCGTTAAGCATCTGCCTTCAGCTCAGGTTATGATCCCAGGGTCCTGGGATCCAGTCCCATATCCGGTTCCTGCTCAGTGGGGAGTCTGCTTCTCTCTCTGCCTGCTGTTTCCCCTGCCTGTGCTCTCTCTGACAACTCAATAAATAAAATCTTTAAAAACTAAAATATTCTGTGATATTTAAAAAAGATTCTTTTCATATTGGATCTCAAAGGACCACATGCCATGTGCTTTTATGTAAGTCAGTAGTCTAGAACCTGACTCTAGAACTGAGAGGGAGATCCGTAAGGAGAAAGAATATACTGTGTTCAGCTGGTGATGAGACCACAAGGATGTTTCCCGTGCACATCCACTCACTGCCAGAGGGCAGTAACTTCAGCTGTGATTCCAGGCGCCCAAAGAGGTCTTCATTAATAAAACAACTGCTCTCGGGGTGCCTGGGTGGCTCAGTGGGTTAAAACCTCTGCCTTCGGCTCAGGTCATGATCCCAGGGTCCTGGGATCAAGCCCCACATCAGGCTCTCTGCTCAGCAGGGAGCCTGCTTCCTCCTCTCTCTCTCTGCCTATTTGTGATCTCTGTCAAATAAATAAATAAAATCTTAAAAAAAAAAAAAAAAGAAAGAAAGAAAACTACTACTCTCACTACTACTCTCATCTTGAGGATGCCAGCAGGTTAAAACAGACTTAATTACAGTTAACTTCGGGAAGCTCATCCCAACTCTCACACTTAAACTAGTCTCAGGTTTCTGGTAGATGAGGGATGCGACAGTAAGAATATGACACATGACCATGATACTTACCTGTTCTAATGTGGCGGCAAAGCCCTGTCTGTCTGCCACATAAGGCAGACCATGAACCAGGCCTACTTTCTCTGTCATCTGGTTAACCATGTCAGTGAGTGTGTCTGGAATTACTACAAGACAAAAAGGTGACAAGGGAAAAAGAAAAAAAAAATTCCTTTTAGTAAAGCATCCACTAACGTGAAATGTATTTGTGAGATATTACTAAAGTCTTTTTTTATATTTGGATATAATAGAACTATTCTCCATCACTTTTCTAATTAGAATACAAAATCTCAAAAAAGGCATTAATACATGATAAGCTAATTTACATGATACATTTTCAGTCTAATATATACCTAACATGTATCAGAAACAGGCTATACCTTGAAAATGTTACTCCCCCTATTTAAGAACCTCCAAACCAGACTAGAGATAATGTGTCCTAACAGAAAAGGAACAGGCTCAAAGGTCAAAGGACCTCAGTCCTTATGCTGGTTCCTGCATTCTCTAACCACAGGAAATGAGCCTCCACTTTTCCTAGAGGGTATGAGATGTCCAATCTTGTCAAACTGCTAGCGGGAACTGAACGAGATGATACTCCACAGAGACGCATACATATGTTATGAAAACGTAATATATGATAAAAATAATTTAGGATAGCAAACACGAAGAATGACTGAGTGATCTGTAACAGTCCTGATGAATCAGGCAGGACACACTTCCATTAATTTTCAAATCTGCTTTTTAAAACTAATAAAAAGAAATTAAATCATGGTCCCCTCTTCAAATAGCAAACACCTCCTGTCTTTTTACATGACTTTACTTCCCTCAAGTTTTCACCAACGAAATCTACTCTATGAAAGTGTATCTGGACCTTCAATACACATCTTCTAGAGCCTTGGTTCTCCACGGCTGCCCTGCAGCGAACAGTTAGCCATGCTTAGAGCCAGTGTTTGGTGCTCCCAGCATTCAGTGTGTAGAGGCCAGGGCTGCTGTCTCACCATCCCATACGGCAGCCTCCCCAGCGGAATTACCCGGCCCCAAATGCCAAGGTTGAGAAACTGGTGGTGATTGGAATATAAATGTTTAGGGGTGCCTGGGTGGCTCAGTGGGTTAAAGCCTCTGCTTTCGGCTCAGGTCATGATCCCAGGGTCCTGGGATCGAGCCCCACATTGGGCTCTACTCAACAGGGAGCCTCCTTACCCATCTCTCTCTGCCTACTTGTGATCTCTGTCAAATAAATTAAAAAAAAAAAATTAGAATACAAATGTTTAAAAATGCAAAGATGCAAATTATAATTTCAGTATGTAAACGCTTTCCTACTAAAATAAGCCATGTACGTATCCTGGTAATATATTCACCTATTAATTTTGTCCCTTTGTGTGAGAGAGTATATTGTTGGTGCCAAACATATTAAAGCAGAAGATAAGGGTAGCATGAACAAGGCAAAATTTACAACTACGAAAAATCTTGTAAAAGGGACTGTAAAATGGACCATAACTTTTTTTTAATAGCTGGAATTTTCTCTTCAAAGCAAAGATATTTTTATACATCTAACAGTCTAGGTTAGCATTAAAAAGTTCCTAATTTTAGTAAGTATAACTTGACATTTTACCATAAATTAGATGAAATAAATTACTTCATGAGGCAAACAAAAAGGACTGATAAATATATTTTCAGATTGCTTTTGGCATTTTATCATCAAAGGAATAGTTTTATGAAATAAGTAAAAAGAAGCTCACCTCTTATTCCACTATCACAAATCCATATCAGATCATACTTTGCAACTTCATATCCTGGCATTAAATTATTAATTTTAGGATTAATGCCAACTTTTTTGCCACCTAGAAATGTAAAGTGAAACAGTGAAAGATTCATGAAACATTGAGAATATTTTCTAGAATACAAATACAGGGTAGAGAGAAGTGAAAAGTACTTTCATACATAATAATTTAAACAAACATACTTTTAACATTATGCTGTATATTCCTTATTATTCACAGTATGTTTAGAAAGAAATTGTTCATTCTCAAAGGGAATTAATTTCTTTGAAAATGTATTAGGTTCAGTTTTTTAATTCTTAAATTAATGCATCAGTAGTATGAATCAATGTTTAATAGCAAGTATCTCTCTACAAGTCTTCAGAATAAGCCTATAGGCTTTTGAAAAAATCCTTTATACAAAATATGTATGTTCTTTTTGTCATATCATAAAAGCAAATTCTATCACTCACTCTCAATTACAGTGAATAAGATATAGAAAAACCCACAGGTTGAAAATATTGAAGAAACAACAAGAAAAACCAGACTCTCGGGGCGCCTGGGTGGCTCAGTGGGTTAAAGCCTCTGCCTTCGGCTCGGGTCATGATCCCAGAGTCCTGGGATCGAGCCCCGCATCGGGCTCTCTGCCCGGCAGAGAGCCTGCTTCCTCCTCTCTCTCTGGCTGCCTCTCTGCCTACTTGTGATCTCTGTCTGTCAAATAAATAAATAAAATCTTAAAAAAAACCAAAAACAAAAACAAAAAAAACCAGACTCTCATTTCTGACTGAGAAAAACATTAACAGGGTAATGGCAGTGGGGGTGGGGGGTGAGGCAGTAGGGGTTTTGTTGTTGTTTTGTTAATTCCAGATATGAAAAAAACCCTGTGTTTTTAGAACTTAAGTTTTTTCAAAAGGATATAAACACATCCTATTGCTACTCTAACATGCATAAAGCAAACATGCTAGTAACTTCACTCTAGTTTAATGCAAAGATTACTGATACTTAATACTATTAAAGCAAAAGGGTTGCTGCAGAATTAATTTTTACCTACCAATAAACAATCTAGCATCAACATTTGGATATTTTCCAAGAAGCTTCTTACATACATCAATGGCAGGATCATCGTGATCTTGTACACAAAGGAGGACTTCATACTAGTCAAAGAACACATTTTATGTAAATTAGTCTCTTACAAAAATAAGCACATTATTAGTATTTACTGACTGATAAAAAGGCATGAGGAAAAACAAGCAATGGTACACACAGAGTTTAGAAGTTAAGAGAGTACTCATAGTGGATGCAAACACTTAAGACGTCAAGTGCTGCTTTAACAGAGAGCAGCTTCTCCCTGAACAGGGCCTATTAGCAAGCAGAAGAGATAAGGAAAGGCCCGGCAGCCCTGACAGCTGAAGTCTTGCCATTCCCAGATAGGCAGGACCTCGGAATTAAACTGCATCTCAAGCTTCTCCATGGCCTCCATCACTGCAGCTTTACCAAATACTCACAGGGTGCCCAGGAGTATAAAAGCAACATGGAAAGCAAACAAAATAAACACCCACTCTGTTCTCTAGAAGCTCGGTCTCTGAATTTATTATTTCATGAAGGTGTTATAAATTACATATCAACTCCCATTATGATTTAAAGGGTTTCCCCAAACTCTTCACATGAAAAGGACAAAGGGAGATTCGATTTTTGCTGTCTAGTGAGTTTTGAAATAAAGTAGAATTTGATTGAAAATCTATCATCCTGGGGCGCCTGGGTGGCTCGGTGGGTTAAAGCCTCTGTCTTCAGCTCCAGTCATGACCCCAGAGTCCTGGGATCGAGCCCCACATCAGGCTCTCTACTCAGCGGGGAGCCTGCTTCCCCCTCTCTCTATCTCTGCCTGCCTCTCTGCCTACTTGTGATCAGTCTGTCAAATACATAAATAAAATCTTTAAAAAAAAAAAAAAGGAGAAAATCTATCATCCTGAAAAGCATGGTTAGCCTTCTAACAATGGAAATACCCAGGGTTCTATTCTGCTCAGTAGGTTAGGGAGTCATTTCTTTGCACTTGACTGGCTATGTCTGTTACCCTGGGATATTTACTTAAAGTAGAGAATACTGGGCCCCACTCTAACTTTTGAATTAGAACTCGGGGATGATTCTGACATGTAGCCAGGTTTATCAAATCTTGAGCATTTAACCTTTAAGCTACCATTTAGTAAACTACTAAGTTTTTAAAAAGTATTTGCTTGGGGCACCTGGGTGGCTCAGTGGGTTAAAGCCTCTGCCTTCGGCTCAGGTCATAATCCCAGGGTCCTGGGATGGAGCTCCGCATCGGGCTCTCTGATCAGCGGGGAGCCTGCTTCCCTCCTCTCTCTCTGCCTGCCTCTCTGCCTACTTGTGATCTGTCAAATAAATAAATAAAATCTTTAAAAAAAAATAAAAATAAATTTTAAAAAAAGTATTTGCTTTCACATACAAAGATGCTACTATAATATTTTATGGGCTAAGTATTCTAAGCAGTAATTTTTTTTTTCAAGAGTGCTGCTAAATTCATGCTGACTCTGGCAAATTTCCTACCAATCCTCTTTGTAATATGGGATGGGCATTTTTAAGCAGAGGAGGGAGGTTAATTATGTCCACAAAAAAAAAAAAAAAAAATCTATGTGTCCTAAAAAATAAAAAGAGCTAAGGACATAACTTTTTAAGTGTCTAACATACAGGGACTAGCTCAGGTAAATGGGAAACCCAGCAAAAACTGGCAATATAGAAATTAGTGACTGCGTATGAAAAGGGCCAGGACTAAAGTCAAAGAAGGTAACACAATTTTTTAAGTGAAAGAAAGAAAATGTTTTCTCAATAATTAAGTAGGGGGGGAAAACAATTTATACTTCCCTCATACTTTCTACCTACTATTATTATACATTCTATCAACTACCTACCTACCGTCTGATGATGACGGACCAAAACTGCCACTCAGGAGGTACTGAAAACAACTTTACAACTACCCAGTGTCCAGGGACCAGATAAAAATCTGAGTATGGGAAGGGCACCACTCTGGCCACACCCTTGAACTTCCCAAAGGGTTGACTCTTAAGTCCTGTAAAGCATCAGTCATCCTCCCAGCCCGACTCTCAAAACAATGTCTGGCTGAACCAGCCTAAAGACATTGACCTTAACAATGAAGATCAGAAAGATTAAGTGAACTTCCAAAGGGTAAATGTAACTATTGGCTTTCGTACTAGAGCAAGCTGTTCAGCCAGGCTCGCAGTAACGAATTCCTCGTTTTTCCAAACACCGCATGGTTTCTTTAGTGCTTTTATAATTTATGCTGTTTTGCAGATACAAGCGAATGCAGTGAAAGGAAATGTTCGTAAGTGATATAATTCCATAAAATATAATCAAAAAGTTAGTCTTAGCTTTTTTTCCCCTAGCAAAAGAAAACTTTGAAGAATATAGTTCTAGAAATGATTTCAAAGGAGGCAGAGTTGACCTTTCTTCAAATGCAAGATTTAAAGTTTTTATTTTAGGGGCACCTGGGTGGCTCAGTCAGTTAGGTATCAGCTCAAGTCATGACCTCAGGGTCCTGAGAGCAGGAGTTCTACATGGGGCTCCGTGCTCAGTGGGGAGTCCACTTGAGATTCTCTCTCTCTCCCTCTGTCCCTACACCCCCACATGCACTCTCTAAAATAAGTATCTTTAAAAAATTGAAGTTTTTATTTTTACTGATTATACCTCTTAAAATGAAAATCAAAAACCTCCTGATTAGCCAGAGTGCAAATAAAACTCAATTCACATTATCTAAGAAATGTTCAGATTCTTACTAAACATGTAACTTTTGCTTGTTTCTGACACTGAAAATCGTACCAAATAAGAGGTAAGCATTTCAAATATTTTCTAAAGTATTTGATTTTAACCTGGAGTTCATTTTTCAGCTCTGATAATCACCTGTGCCTTCAGTCTGATCGAACATTTATTTGCTAGGAATCTCTGTAATTGAATACTTAAGTCACTCCAACTACCCTGCAACTGGCCAGACAGAACGTATCAAATTGGTTAAAGGCTTTTTTAAAGGATACAAAAAATTTCTTCTGAAATTATTTTTAAAAGACTATTTAATTTAGACAGAGAGAAGGGTGCATGAGATGGGGGTGGGGGAGAGGAACACAGGGAGAGGGACAAAGTAGACTCTGCACGAAGAGCCTGACGTGGGCTCCATCTCATGACCCCAAGATCATGACCTGAGTCGAAATCAAGAGGCAGAGGCTTAGCTGACTGAGCCACCCAGGCGCTCCTGGATATTTTTGTATTATCTAAAGGATTGGGCAGAAGTATATATGTTCAAAAACATAATGTTTATTAAAAATATTATACTTTAGGGGTGCCTGGATGGCTCAGGGGGTTAAAGCCTCTGCCTTTGGCTCAGGTCATGATCTCAGCGTTCTGGGATTGAGCTCCACATTGGACTCTCTGCTCAGTGGGAAGCCTGCTTCCCCCTCTGTCTCTGCCTGCCTCTCTACCTACTTGTGATCTCTGTCAAAATAAATAAATAAATAATCTTAAAAATAATACTCTTTAAAAATATCTCAAGAAAACACTTACTTTATGGATTTGAAAGGGCTGTAAGATATAGTGAATTCCATTATAAATCAGTATAGTATGAATACATAAAGCCTAGTAATAAACCACAGAGTAGTTTAAATGAGAAGGTTAGTGTTCGACAACCCTTTACTAAGGTTACTATACACATAGCTAAAGTGGCTAATTTTGTTTTCCTTTTCAAACAGTGCAACGACTAAAAGGCTGAGGACAAGAGAGGTGTAGGAAATCCACAAACAGGGATTCAGCCCTTCGATATTTAAGAATCGAGTATCTGAAAACAGCAATAATCATGAATGCTACTTTTCAGCTTTTACGAATAAATTCATATGCATGAATAAATTACGATGCATATATAGTATTAGATTTAGGTATATAAATAACATTAGAAAAATCCCACTGATAAAGCCCTATAGACATTAGGAATATAAACTGTGTACTACAGCAAACAAGATAAAACATCCTCTTAAAATAGAAAACTGTTTGGGGCGCCTGGGTGGCTCAGTGGTTTAAGGCTCTGCCTTCGGCTCAGGTCATCATCCCAGGGTCCTGGGATCGAGACCCACACCGGGCTCTCTGCTCAGCAGGGAGCCTGCTTCCTCCTCTCTCTCTGCCTGCCTCTCTGCCTACTTGTGATCTCTGTCAAATAAAAAAAGAAAAGAAAAGAAAAGAAAATTATATTGCATATCAAGTAGGAATATCTTGAATTGTTCTACAAATAACTACACATCTTTTTTTTCCTAAGATTTTATTTATTTATTTGACAGACAGAGATCACAAGTAGGCAGAGAGGCAGGTAGAGAGAGAGAGGAGGAAGCAGGCTCCCTGCTGAGCAGAAAGCCAGAAGCTCGATTCCAGGACCCTGAGACCATGACCTGAGCCGAAGGCAGAGGCTTAACCCACTGACTCACCCAGGTGTCCCACTACACATCACTTTTACAGAAAAATTTTATGATGCTATTTGGATGACAGCAGAATATGAATTTTCTGACATAACATATTTAGCCCCCAAATGCCTAGAACATTCTCTGGCATGAAGTGATTAATACACTTATTAAGTAAGTTAATGCATTCATCTTTAGGATAACTTCTGAGTGAAAGACAGATGCCAGGAAGGAGATGTTTTTTAAGAACACAGCTCTGAATTCAAAGTCTAGACAGGTAACGTTATATACTTCTTTATTTTCAAGAAATTGTCTATACAGTTTTCCAAATTTACTTGGCAAATTCCTATCTTGCAGATTTACTAGTTTCACCACGTATGTTGTGCTTGATCTTCTGAAAATGGATTTGCTTTTCTGTCTTCTCTAATTCTTTGTTTAGAAGACCATTCAGTAAGAAATAATTCCTGTTAAGGATAACTACACCACCGGCAACAAAGAGTCCAAACATGGCACCAAACTTGTAACATTTTAAACCAATTCTGTATTTGCAAAACAAAGGGGAAAAAAACCCACCACTATTACCACAGCCTCATTCTTGTAATAACTCTGATCATTTAATTTAAAAACTCTTCATATGGCCAGAATTTACTACGTAAAGCTGACTGCTGCTTCTTCCCTCTATGGCTAAATCTCCCCCCAAAATGCAATCTATACTGAGCCAAGCTAAGTGCTCAGTTTTGCAGAAAATCAATTATATGACTTTTTCATATTTTTTTTACCCCCCAAGGAATAAATATCCAAAAAAGTGGATTGGGGCTCCTGAGTGTCCCAACTCTTGGTTTTGGCTCAGGTCATGATCTCAGGGTCCTGGGATGGGGTCCCAAGTCAGGCTTCGCATTCAGTGCAGAGTCTGCTTAAGGTCCCTGCCCCCACCCCATTGATGCGTTCTCTCTCTCAAATAAATAAAATCTTAAAACAAAACAACCCGAAATAGTGGACTGACAAGATATGTCAAGTACAGAAATGTTTCAGGGCAATTAGTACAGTAACGATGCTCACCAAAATTTAAGCCCAGAAATTCAGGGCAAGTACCAGTAGTAAATCTTCTTGCACGTATCCCAAATTAAATAAAAGTTATGAACTTCAACATGTTCTTTTTCTAGAGTGGTCTATAATGTTCTGAATCAAATTAGCAGGAAAATCGTATGTCCGGACTGAAACCAGACATACTTCTGGAAAACAACGTTCACCCTCGACAAAAAGCCAATAGTAAAGTGTGCTGGGCCTGGCAGTCACACAAATATTCGTTTCAGGACTACATGCCTCCTGGGTGACACAGCCACTTGCCTGTTCACACTCAGATTTGTGGGATTTCAGTGGTTTAACTTCAGTTTCCTGTGGAACATTTGCCACTGGGCTTGGTCTTTTTAAAAAGCCAATAAAAATGCCATGAGGTCCAAGTTTTCCTTTAGATTACAGGTCCTTAGCACTTTCCCTCCGCTTTCTTTATTTTCTATTTACACAGCTAACAAACAGTACTTTTATAATTAGTAAAGTTCTGAAAAAGAGAATAAAAACGATCTCATATATGTGGTTCCTCATTTTATAGTACGTATCAAAAACATTTTCTCCACGATCAATTTAAATACCTCAATGACAAAAATGGGAAAAGAAGCAAAAACTGGAGCTCTTGAGAGAATATCAAATTGTAATTAAAAAAAAAAACAAACTCTTCAGGGGCGCCTGGGTGGCTCAGTGGGTTAAAGCCTCTGCCTTCGGCTCAGGTCAGGATCTCAGAGTCCTGGGATCGAGCCCCACATCAGGCTCTCTGCTCAGCGGGGAGCCTGCTTCCTCCTCTCTCTCTGCCTGCCTCTCTGCCTACTTGTGATCTCTGTCTGTTAAATAAATAAATAAAATCTTAAAAAAAAAAAAAAAAACTCTTAAAAAAAAAAAAAAAAACTTCATTCAGAAGAAGAAATCAACTATTGACTTATCCCAAATGTTCAGGATTAATGGATACTATATTCCTGGGTTATTCTTAGACACTCTTTCTACAACTAAAGCCCACACTAACTTCCATGACCAATTCAATTCCATGACTATCATCTCCCAAAGACCCGAAATAAAAGGTCCATAACCAAATTCTGAGAGTGGGTGAATGGGTGAATGGGGGGAAAGGGTGGGATGATGATTAAACAACTGAAATGTGACATTAAATTTCACAAGGACAAATATATGATTCTAGCTTATAATCAATAAAATATTTAATAATAATGAATATTTTTCAGTAGAAAAATTCTCTGCATTTACTTACATAAGGTTTAAAAACCTTCCATTTCTCTTATTGTAAAACTTATTTTGCAATTAATTTGTATCATTCTTTCTAAATTACAAAAGGACACTTTCTCCACCTTTAGTTTGAAAAAATCAAGTATGAATCTTATTTTTAAAAAATTACATATTCAATTTATTGGATAGGTACTGCATGCATGAATCAGAGCTCTAAAATTATTAAATACATACACACACACACACACACACACAGACTAGAAGAAATAACTATTTTGCTTCAAATTAGCTTCAAATACCTAGACTTCCAAAATTTAAAAGCACTAATATAAAAAACAACACTAAAAAAATAACCAAATTATACTCATGTCTACATACTTAATAAGAGTTATATTAAGGCTACATCACATCTGTGTCTTCTCTATTCTTTTTCATTGATGCTACCTAGAAAAGTACAAGCTAAAAGGAAAGAAATGAGTGTGAAAACCTGTCACCATGAGAAGTGTGGTGTGTATATTATTTTCCTTCTCACAATTTCAGATGTCCTAAAGAAATAGGAGGGGAAGAGCCTCCAAATGGCAAAAACTATGGACAAACTGAGACACTGAGGGTCAAAACAGACACAAGCAAATAGGGACCAAGGAGGAAAATTCACATGGACCGAAAAATCAAGCAGCTACCTGCTTGAAATGTAAAGACACATTCAAAAGCAGTGTTTCAAGCCACTTTAAAACTGCAATAAAGCTAGATACATAATCTCTTGATTTAGTAAGTTGTCCTAAGAAACTATAGGTTGAATATTAAAGGGAAGAGGTTAAAAAGAGGGAGCACCTGGGTGGCTCAGTGGGTTAAGCCTCTGCCTTTGGCTCGTTCATGATCTCAGGGTCCTGGGATCGAGCCCCGAATTGGGCTCTCTGCTCAGCGGGGAGCCTGCTTCCGCCCTCTCTCTGTCTCTGCCTGCCTCTCTGCCTACTTGTGATCTCTGTCTGCCAAATAAATAAATAAAATCTTTTTAAAAAAAAAAAAAGATGCCTCTCTAAGCATTTACCACAACAGAAAAGCCCCCCCCTCAAAAAAAGAGGTCTCACCCATACCTAATGAGTACAAGGTTGTACTTACTTTGGGGTAATCCAATTCGAAGAAGGTCTCCAAGTTGTTGATTAGGTTAGGATCTACTCCTTTCAGTGGCTTTAGAAGAGACACGCCTGGGAGCTTGCTGTATGGCTGTTTGTCTGTTGCCTTCTTGTTGAGGTGTAATCGGCTAAAAAGCAAAGGATGTATACATCATTTCTGGAGAACACATTAGTGCTAAATCAGTCTATCAAGCAATTACTAAATTTGGGCGCATGGGTGGCTCAGTGGGTTAAGCCGCTGCCTTCGGCTCAGGTCATAATCTCAGGGTCCTGGGATCGAGTCGCGCATCAGGCTCTCTGCTCAGCAGGGAGTCTGCTTCCCCCCGCCACCCCGTCTCTCTGTGCCGGCCTCTGTGCCTACTTGTGATCTCTGTCAAATAAATAAAATCTTTAAAAAAAAAAAAAGAAGAAGAAGAAGAAGAAGAAATTACTAAATTTTCAGTTTTAAAAAGCTATCTGAAAATGAAGGAAAGTAACCAGATAAATGTCTAGTTTAGGAAAACCGGAACTAAGCAGAATGAATGTTCAGATGAAGCCTGGAGCTTAAGACTGTGGTTTATGCTTCGAGAACTATGCCCAGCAGAGAGTACGCAGCCAATAAATAAATACATGGTGAAGAAATGAATTATAGTTAGCCCACATATTAACTGCCCTTCCTCCCAGCCTGCCATCTATGTGGACCAAGAACTGCAACAGTAGTGGGGGGGGGGGGAATCCCTATCTTCCCCAGAAAGAGGGAGAAATGTAACCAGAAAAATCTGAGAAATATTTGTAAGAAGCAGTCCACAAAACACACAACTGAAAGAAGCACGACACTGCCAGCATGGCAAGCTGGGATAACTCGCAGATCTCCTGATATTCACAAGATCAGAACGGCAGGAGTGGAACAGAGTGAATTTCAAAGTTAAGGGGAAAAAAATCTCTATGAGCAAAATGTCTATTAATGACACTGGAAGATACATCGGTGCCACCAAAACACAAGTCAGTTGGCCAAGGTTCTCTGAGCTGGTCCATCCCAAGGGTACGACAGCACAGGGCTCCTAAGGAGGGAAGCCGCGCCGCTTAATGAGAGAATGTGCCCTGGTTAATGTTCATGGCGTGAAAACAAAGAGAAGAGATGCCTTTCGGCAGAGTTGTGATGTTTCTAAAGGAAGTCACTGAAGTCTTTCCTCTTTCTTATAAGAAAGCAAGTCTCCAAGCACTCAACAGTAATTAGAGGTTAGAACAATCACGGGACCATGCGTGAGATATTTTAAGAACACGTTCTTCCACATTTTAACATCTCTGAAATCGAAGGCATCTTAACAATTGGTGGCAGCCAGATGGCAGTCCTAAATTAGTAGCATGAAAACCAACCAACGAAACCTTCCTGAAGATCAAGAAAACGCCAGCATCAATGCATCTCTGATTTGATGAAATACACTATTAATCCATGAATGACTTCTGAAAGTACACCACTAATGTCAGGCAGAGCAGTGAGCCATGTGCTCATGCTCAGCTAACTGAAGGGCAGGGATGTGCCACAGAGAACATCTGATGTTTCAGATAAGGCCACAAGACATTTCACAGAAAGAAAATGGGTTACCTACAATGGAAAACATTTAAAGCAGTAAGAGATTTTTTTAAAGAACAAGATGGTATCACTATCAGATCTACAGCCCCCAAAAGCTGGAAAATAACGGGGCGCCATTTTCAGTAGTGCTGCACGGTACAGTTAGCGCGCAAGTTGTTTTACTGCTCTGCCATGAGAAGAAATGGAAAGAAAGCGTTTAGAAACATTTACAGCAATCTGACATTTACATGCCATCCAAGCACGTGATCAGTATTTATTTTTATTGTAGTTTATCGAAGTATCAGTCCGTGCCAGACTGGAAAAATTTTAAAGAGCTGATCCTCTGCCATAGATAGTTTGGAAAATATTCATCTAGCAAGTTCATCGAGAGGCTGGACAGAGGTAAAAACCACGATCTAAAATTTATACAACCACTGGGGCACCTGGACGGCTCTGTTGGTTAAGCGTCCGAATCTTGATTTCAGCTCAGAGGTCATGATCTCAGGGTCATGGGATTGAGCCTGTGCTCATGAATATGGAGCCTGCTTAGGATTCTCTCTCTCCCTCCCCCAACCCCACACACATGCATGTACTCTCTTTCTCTCTCTCTCTCTCTAAAAAGATAAAATAAGGGGTGCCTAAGCAGCTCAGCTGGCTAAGCATCCAACTCTTGATTTTGACTCAGGTCATGATCTCAGGTTATGAGATGGAGCCTGCTTCAGATTCTCTCTCTTCCCCCTCCCCAACGCTGCCACTCTCACATGCATGCATTCTCTCTCAAAAAAAACAATAAAAATAAATAAAACAAAATTTATATAACCACAAAAATGACCACTATTCCATACCTAACAAAATGGCAGACTGGAGATATTTGGAGAAACCTATCCAATACAGAACATACAGACTGCTGGAGAAAAAAAAGTTTTATATATTTAATTGATTGACAGTAATATTCACACGGTTCAAATCACTGAAGATATTATAACAGGTCACATGAAAGAAGTCTCCTTGTCACCCCTGCCCCCCAGGCTCAGCATTATTAGTTTCTTACTCATCTTTCCAGAAACTTTAAAAAAAAATTGCATATACAAGCCAACACACACATACAAATTCTTCCATAATATTTATAATGTTTAACATAGATGCATAAAAAGCATGTTTTAAAATACGTAACAGAACTGTTAGGAAAATAAAGGAACCTCCCAGGTCGGAAATGAGGAGAAATCTCTGAGGGAGAGCTGGCTGCTTGGCCCAGGGCCATCTGTTGGTCCGTGATGATCCAGAGGTGGAGATAAGCCTGAGACAAGAATGAAGGAACTCTGTTCTGTCCACCTTGTGGTAATATGGAATCTCTGAAAGGCAAAGTAGAAAAATGCTGGCCCACAGTAGGAAGATGGGGATGTTGCCTTCTTAGATTCACTCCTGAATAAAGTGGAATAAAAGGAAAAAGTCTTCCAAGAGAACACCCAACCACATGGGTTTGGAACCCATAAGGCAAACTACCTGCGCTGCTTGAACAAAACCCAAGAGAAATAAAAATTGTAATCACTGACACTAGAAACTCAACAGACAGATAGGACAGAAGAATGCATATACAGTTCAAAAGAGAACTGGAGAACTGGAATCTAGATTCAAAGAAATTATTCAGGATGGGCCACATCCTGAAGGCACAAAGAGAATGGGACGCAAAGACACTGAAATCATGGAACAGTTTGAGACATGGAGGATAAAATAAAAAGGCCTGAAATCCCAGGAATTTTTCATCTCTTCCCACTGCATGATCATTAAGTGCTATTAAATTCATCAAAACATGCACGAGTTCATGACCAATACAGAGAAACCCAGCCTACTAACCCACTGAATTTGGCAAGTCTTCAAATTAAAAACAACAAAGATAACTTAAACAGTGTTAAATAGTCTAGAATTGATTCCATCTCCCCTTTCCCTTCTTCTTTATTAAGACATTTTACTTTAAATGCTAATACAGATATACCTTCTATCCTTTGGAAATCTTTTCATATCAAGAATGCAATATTTTATCAGACACATTCTGACTCACCCAACAGCAATGAAGCTGTCTCCAGGTTTATGATGAAGAGAACTGGTTAATACTGTATCAGAAATTTCTACTCAAAATAACGATAACCCAGACTGTATCGTGGGACCTTTAAAAAAAATCCCCATTTGTGTTTCTCCCATATCTATCTCTCCTCTCCCACCCCCCAGTATTTCATACCCCAAGGCGTCATCTCATGGAGTGTATCCTAGGATACAGGAATCCTACTTTGGAGAATACTGTTTCGATTTACGTAACACAACTGACAAAGCCCCTTGCTACAAACTAGGTGAAATGTTTATCAAAAACAGTAAAATACCCATTAAGTCACACACAAAATCACTCGGCACTGTGCTTACCACACAGTGGTGTTCCACGACTACTTAGCAATTCCCCCTCCTGAACAATCACTTTTGAACCCCAAATGTACACCAGCCATCATCCTGTGCACTGGTGATAATGGCAATGAACAGGGGAATTCCTGACTGTCCAGGGGCTGCAGTCGTATGGGGGAGTCGCACACGTACAGAAGCTCTTCCCCATATAAAACTGTTATAGTCAACCAAGCTATGTTCTAAAGCAAGAAATAGATTAACTTGGCCTGCCACCTGGAGAAATGATGCTGGTGGGTGCCTTGGCCATAGCCAGTGTTTTGTAAACCAATCAGTATTTTTCAAAGTATGATCAACAGCCTGTCTGCCCAGAGTCTCAACAAGTGGCCCGAGTGGTGGAGTCCTCCAAGTGGGGTGGCTCTGACAGGATCTACAAGGGTTACTGGTTTCAAACCAGTGTTAACTTTGGTATCTCAAGGCAGGGGCTCTGGATCACTCAGAACTGAACTTGAGCCCAATGCATCCACACGCCGGCCACGGCTTTACCATGGGTGCCCATTGCCACCACTGGCCTAAAGCAGGTGACTTGCCTTCTGTCGGGATCCTTCAGGTTCTACACTGGGAATCCAGTTCTTCCTCCCCATCATGCATTTGGCTTGCGGGCCTGTCCTTCTTTTAGAAGGTGGAGGACAGTATTTTTTATTGATGGGTAACACACATACAGCAAAGACCATGTAAGTATACAGCACAATGAATCTCCTCAGAGTGAAACACGCATGTAACCAGTGTACCCAGATCAAGAAGCAGAATATTCCCAGAACCCCAAAAGCCCTTGTCATGTCCCCAACTAACTACCCTCCTCCTCAAGGGTAACCACTATCTGACTTCCAACACACTAATTCTACCAGCATTAAAATTTTATCTAAATGGAATCCCACAGGATGTACTCATTTGTGTCTGGTTTCTTTGACTTCAATGTTTGTGAGACTCATCTTTGCTGTTACATTTAGTTATAATTGATTCACTATTTAAAAAAGATTTATTTATTTTCAAGAGGGAGCGTGGGCAGCGGGAGAGAGATAAAGAACCTCAAGCCAACTTTGCAGAGCATGGGGCCTGACACAGGGCTCGAGCTTACGACCCCAAGATCATAACTTGAACCCAAACCAAGAGTCCGACGCTCAACCG